AGTAGAAAAATAAAATATAATTAATTTTTTACATATACTATAGTCTTTTATGTTTTTAGCTTAGTGAAATAAAAATATAAAAGTTTGTGATGGTGAAGAAAAATATTGAACGGTTTTTGAAGTAATATACCATAAGTCAATGTGAATACGATGAATATAAGAAATATTGAGCTTGGTTATTTAATTTTATTCGTTATGCATATGTCTAAATTATGTGTCATTCATTTGAAGTCTCTTAACTTAGTTTCTTAGTGATGAAGAAACCAAAATTTTGGTGATGGAGAAGAAGAAAAATATAGAAATGTTTACAACTATTATACCATAATACAATGTGATTATAGTGAATACATATAGCATTGAACTTCAATATTTAATTTTAGTGATTACCCATGTATATTTAATTTATTTGTCATTCATTTACAGTCTTTTGACTATGTGGCTTAGTGACGAAGAAACATGAAATTTTGTGATGGAAAAGAAACATATTGAATATATTTACATCTAACTTACCATAATTCAATGTGAAAATGGTAAATATCCATAAATTCTAGCTTGATTATTTATTTTAATTATTACCTATTTTATATAAAAAATATGTCATGGATTATAGTCTTTTACCTTTGTTTTTTAGTGGGTAAAAACCTAAAATTTTGTGACGGAGTAGAAAAATAAAATATAATTAATTTTTTACATATACTATAGTCGTTTATGTTATAAGCATAGTGATAAAAGAATCTAGAACTTTGAGATAACGAAGAAAAATATTGAACGGTTTTTGAAGTAATATACCATAAGTCAATGTGAATACGATGAATATAAATAATATTGAGCTTGGTGATTTAATTTTAATCGTTATGCATATGTATAAATTATGTGTCATTCATTTGTAGTCTCTTAACTTAGTTTCTTAGTGATGAAGAAACCAAAATTTTGGTGATGGAAAACTAGAAAAAAATATAGATATTGTTGACAACTATTTTACCATAATACAATGTGATTAAAGTGAAAACAAATAACATTGAGTTTAAATATTTAACTCTGGTGATTACCTATGAAGATATAATTTATTTGTCATTCATTTACAGTCTTTTAACTCTGCGGCTTAGTGACGAAGAAACATGAAATTTTGTGATGGAGAAGAAACATATTGAATATATTTACATCTAACTTACCATAATTCAATGTGAAAATGGTAAATATCAATAAATTCTAGCTTGATTATTTATTTTAATTATTACCTATTTTATATAAAAAATATGTCATGTATTATAGTCTTTTAGCTATGTTTTTTAGTGGGTAAAAACCTAAAATTTTGTGACGGAGTAGAAAAATAATATATAATTAATTTTTTACATATACTATAGTCTTTTATGTTTTTAGCTTAGTGAAATAAAAATATAAAAGTTTGAGATGGTGAAGAAAAATATTGAACGGTTTTTGAAGTAATATACCATAAGTCAATGTGAATACGATGAATATAAATAATATTGAGCTTGGTTATTTAATTTTAATCATTATGCATATGTGTAAATTATGTGTCATTCATTTGTAGTCTCTTAACTTAGTTTCTTAGTGGTGAAGAAACCAAAATTTTGGTGATGGAGAAGAAGAAAAATATAGAAATTGTTTACAACTATTATACCATAATACAATGTGATTATAGTGAATACATATAGCATTGAACTTCAATATTTAATTTTAATGATTACCCATGTATATTTAATTTATTTGTCATTCATTTACAGTCTTTTAACTATGTGGCTTAGTGACGAAGAAACATGAAATTTTGTGATGGAGTAGAAACATATTGAATATATTTACATCTAACTTACCATAATTCAATGTGAAAATGGTAAATATCCATAAATTCTAGCTTGATTATTTATTTTAATTATTACCTATTTTATATAAAAAATATGTCATGGATTATAGTCTTTTAGCTATGTTTTTTAGTGGGTAAAAACCTAAAATTTTGTGACGGAGTAGAAAAATAAAATATAATTAATTTTTTACATATACTATAGTCTTTTATGTTTTTAGCTTAGTGAAATAAAAATATAAAAGTTTGTGATGGTGAAGAAAAATATTGAACGGTTTTTGAAGTAATATACCATAAGTCAATGTGAATACGATGAATATAAGAAATATTGAGCTTGGTTATTTAATTTTATTCGTTATGCATATGTGTAAATTATGTGTCATTCATTTGTAGTCTCTTAACTTAGTTTCTTAGTGATGAAGAAACCAAAATTTTGGTGATGGAGAAGAAGAAAAATATAGAAATGTTTACAACTATTATACCATAATACAATGTAATTATAGTGAATACATATAGCATTGAACTTCAATATTTAATTTTAGTGATTACCCATGTATATTTAATTTATTTGTCATTCATTTACAGTCTTTTGACTATGTGGCTTAGTGACGAAGAAACATGAAATTTTGTGATGGAGAAGAAACATATTGAATATATTTACATCTAACTTACCATAATTCAATGTGAAAATGGTAAATATCCATAAATTCTAGCTTGATTATTTATTTTAATTATTACCTATTTTATATAAAAAATATGTCATGGATTATAGTCTTGTACCTTTGTTTTTTAGTGGGTAAAAACCTAAAATTTTGTGACGGAGTAGAAAAATAAAATATAATTAATTTTTTACATATACTATAGTCGTTTATGTTATAAGCATAGTGATAAAAGAATCTAGAACTTTGAGATAACGAAGAAAAATATTGAACGGTTTTTGAAGTAATATACCATAAGTCAATGTGAATACGATGAATATAAATAATATTGAGCTTGGTTATTTAATTTTAATCGTTATGCATATGTATAAATTATGTGTCATTCATTTGTAGTCTCTTAACTTAGTTTCTTAGTGATGAAGAAACCAAAATTTTGGTGATGGAAAAGTAGAAAAATATAGAAATTGTTGACAACTATTTTACCATAATACAATGTGATTAAAGTGAAAACAAATAACATTGAGTTTAAATATTTAACTCTGGTGATTACCTATGAAGATATAATTTATTTGTCATTCATTTACAGTCTTTTAACTCTGCGGCTTAGTGACGAAGAAACATGAAATTTCGTGATGTAGAAGAAACATATTGAATATATTTACATCTAACTTACCATAATTAAATGTGAAAATGGTAAATATCCATAAATTCTAGCTTGATTATTTATTTTAATTATTACCTATTTTATATAAAAAAATATGTCATGCATTATAGTCTTTTAGCTATGTTTTTTAGTGGGTAAAAACCTAAAATTTTGTGACGGAGTAGAAAAATAAAATATAATTAATTTTTTACATATTCTATAGTCTTTTATGTTTTTAGCTTGGTGATATAAAAATCTAAAAGTTTGAGATGGTGAAGAAAAATATTGAACGGTTTTTGAAGTAATATACCATAAGTCAATGTGAATACGATGAATATAAATAATATTGAGCTTGGTTATTTAATTTTAATCGTTATGCATATTTATAAATTATGTGTCATTCATTTGTAGTCTCTTAACTTAGTTTCTTAGTGATGAAGAAACCAAAAATTTGGTGATGGAGAAGAAGAAAAATATAGAAATTGTTTACAACTATTATACCATAATACAATGTGATTATAGTGAATACATATAGCATTGAACTTCAATATTTAATTTTAGTGATTACCCATGTATATTTAATTTATTTGTCATTCATTTACAGTCTTTTAACTATGTGGCTTAGTGACGAAGAAACATGAAATTTTGTGATGGAGAAGAAACATATTGAATATATTTACATCTAACTTACCATAATTCAATGTGAAAATGGTAAACATCCATAAATTCTAGCTTGATTATTTATTTTAATTATTACCTATTTTATATAAAAAATATGTCATGGATTATAGTCTTTTAGCTATGTTTTTTAGTGGGTAAAAACCTAAAATTTTGTGACGGAGTAGAAAAACAAAATATAATTAATTTTTTACATATACTATAGTCTTTTATGTTTTTAGCTTAGTGAAATAAAAATATAAAAGTTTGAGATGGTGAAGAAAAATATTGAACGGTTTTTAAAGTAATATACCATAAGTCAATGTGAATACGATGAATATAAATAATATTGAGCTTGGTTATTTAATTTTAATCGTTATGCATATGTGTAAATTATGTGCCATTCATTTGTAGTCTTTTAACTTAGTTTCTTAGTGATGAAGAAACCAAAATTTTGGTGATGGAGAAGAAGAAAAATATAGAAATTGTTTACAACTATTATACCATAATACAATGTGATTATAGTGAATACATATAGCATTGAACTTCAATATTTAATTTTAGTGATTACCCATGTATATTTAATTTATTTGTCATTCATTTACAGTCTTTTAACTATGTGGCTTAGTGACGAAGAAACATGAAATTTTGTGATGGAGAAGAAACATATTGA